CCCCAAAACCCCAAAACCCCAAAACCCCAAAACCCCAAAACCCCAAAACCCCTACTAATTCCAGAATATTGAGTTTAGTTTTAATGCATGATTTATGCATAATTTAAGCATTTATATTAGATGATTTAGTCCAAATCTGGAGCCCTGGCTTCTCTTGGTTTTGGTCCTCCTGCTGGCTTTGACATAATAATTTGATCTACCTTTAGAATTGTGAGTACGGCATCAACTGCGAGTTTAATGGCCCAGCTCTTGCATTCAAGGGAGTCATAAATTTCAAGAGCTTTCATATCCTTTACTTTGCCATCTTCGACATCAATACCATAGAAGGGAGATTTAGCGGTTTCAGAGAAGAGCTTAGCAATGATTTCTTCGGCATTAAGTCCAGCATTTTCTGCCAAAGTTCTTGGAATCACTTCAAAGGCTTGTCCAAATCTTTCAACTGCATATTGGTCGAGTCCTGGCTGAGTCTTAGCGTAGGTCTGAAGTTGAGAAGAGAGATGGATCTCTGTGGCTCCAGCTCCAGCACAGAAGGCAGAATTCTTAGTCATGTTTTTGACTGTGTTGACTCCATCGTCAATGGCTCTTTCAGCATCATCGAGGACATTGATGGTACTAGCTCTCAAAACAATAGTTCCAATTCTGTTGTCTACTTCATCCCTTCTGAAAATAGTGCATTGAGTGGATGAGATTTCTGTGGTATATACTTCATCTGCATGTCCAACTTCTTCTGGAGTTGGAGCGTCCATTCTGACAAGAATGGCTCCTCCAAGAGTGGAAGCGATTCTCTTTGTCTCAAATTTAGAGTGAATTCTCAGAACCATGATTTTGTATTTTTCCATGTAGTGGAGGCATACTTCACTGATGGATGCACCAGAAATAACTACATTGATGCCAGTGTCATGAAGCTTTTTGACAAATTTCTCCATAGTTTCTTCTTCCCCTTTAGTGTAGTTAGCAAGCTCTTCCGCAGTCTTGAGAAGGACAGTTCCCTTAGTATCTCCATTCTCAGCCTCGAGTTGGCAGTTGAAGACAGCAACCTTAGCTTCCTTTACGTTGTGAACTGTAGTTTCAGATCCTCTGATAACACACATTCCATGGATAACTTGACTGTCAGTGAGACCTCCTCCAAGAATTTTAGTCACTCTAACATTGTCAACGACGAATTCCTTTGGATTTTCTGGCATGGCATAGATGCATGCTTTAGCGATCAGTGGAGCAAGAAGGTCTTCATTTCCATAATGTTTCGAGGCAACAACACTTCTAATACATTTCTGGACTTCTTCCTCATTCTTCATATCTTCAATAGAGTAGCATACCAAAGAATCTAAGTATTCGAGACATTTTTGGGAGGCTTTCTCATATCCGAGAAGAATATCACTTGGATGGAGTCCCTCCTGAATCAGGTTCTCAGCTTGTTGCATAAGCTCTCCACTAAGAGTAAGGACGAAGTTAGTTCCATCTCCTGCCTCGCTTTCTTGCATTGCGGCAGCCATTGCAACCATTTTGGCAGCGGGGTGCTGTACTTCGATCTCCTTAACAATTGTGGCAGCGTCACTGGTGACAATCAATTTGCCAATATGAGTGATTACCATTTTGTTCATACCTAGAATGGTTTATGTAAGCTTTCTAGAAACCACGACAAGATTTGCAAACGTACCGTGTGGGCCTAGGGAAGATCTTGTCATTTTTGACAGAGTCTTGACAGCATCAATATTCTTGAGGATGGCTTCCTCCAATCCAGTGTAGTGTCTTGATCCCTGTAATATGAGATTAGCATGGAAAGGAGGCATAACCTTACATCTTTCAGAAGACCTTGAAGTCCGGCAGCTTGTTTGAACATATTTCTTTAATATTTAAAATATTATCACGGTCAGTTTTTGATTTATAAAGGGGTTTTGGGGTTTTGGGGTTTTGGGGTTTTGGGGTTTTGGGG